TATATATATATATACACTAATTCACTGACCAGTGTACTATTGACGCAACAGAAAATCTTACATTGATTTAGTGATTTTGAAAACATTTTATTATAATTGTGAATTTTATGATCTTGTAAAATGAAATTCACATTTTATAAACAAAGTAATTAAAATGAAGGAAATCAAGAGATCACACAATTTTTGTTTGTACATAAGGTCGTATACATTAAACAAATTGGGGGATTCTGTTTTGGCTATGGATTCCAATAAAATCAGTCCTGTGTGGCGCGGATCGCGTGGACGGGTGGACGGGTTGACGGGTTTCATGTTCTCTGCACGTAATAAGCTCGGTTATTAAGCATCCTTTTTTGGGGATGCCCGGTGGCCGAGGGGAAGACGTGTAGTGGCGTGAAGCTAGGTGATTAGGTGCCGTACGCGAGCGCCGGTTCGAGTCACGCACGCAGTACGTGTTTACTATAATTAGACATAGTCTTTACCTTGCCGTTTATTCGGTGTTATTTGCTTACTTTACTTCCTATGTTGACAGCAACTATGAATTTAAAATTATTTCTCAGTACTTATTCACTGTTATAATGCTGTACCATTACTTTCACCATCCTACTACAACCAGATCTGAAGGCCTTTGCCGCATTCTGGCCACGCTGTGTGGCGCAGATCGCGTGGACGGGTTTCATGTTCTCTGCACGTAATAAGCTCGGTTATTAAGCATCCTTTTTTGGGGGTGGCCGAGGGGAAGACGTGTAGTGGCGTGAAGCTAGGTGCCGTACGCGAGCGCCGATTCGAGTCACGCACGCAGTACGTGTTTACTATCATTAGACATAGTCTTTACCTTGCCGTTTATTCGGTGTTATTTGCTTACTAGTCCTGTTAGATGGCGCACTGTTTGTAACCACACTGTTTACTTTTTGTAGTAACCCTTCTAGGCCATGTACAGCCAGGATGATGTCTTCTCTGAAATATCTGAAAATCTCTTTCCCCATTTTTATGTCAGGTTAAAATTATACGACTTTTGCGAATTCTTGGTAAAGACGACCCTGATGCGAGTGAAGCCATGAATGACATCTTAGCACAAGTAGCCACCAATACTGAAACGAGTAAAAACGTTGGTAATGCCATTCTTTACGAAACTGTACTAGCAATCATGGACATCCATTCAGAAAGCGGTCTTCGAGTATTAGCTATCAACATATTAGGCAGATTCTTACTTAATAATGATAAGAATATCAGGTAAGTTTATCTTTACCTTGTTTTAAAGTTGTATTGTCGGCAAAATTTTGTTGAAAGCCCTTTAAATTTTGCGGTTGAATTCTACTTTGGGAGTGTGTTAAACACTACAATTCAAAATGGTTGAATGGTTACCATTTTAATATTAAAAATGCATTAAATTTGAACATTTCTGCAATTCCAGAATAAAATTTCAGTCATGCATTGACAGATTTTGCTCAAACTTAGTGCATACATTGAACATAATAAGACTTTGATGCATGTGGTTTTGTTTTTCAGATGTCATTCAAAATGGCCGACCAGTGGCCATTAATGTCACATTACTGTCCATTACTGTCCAGAGCCATATCTCTGAAATGCCGTGATTGATGAGATTCAAACTGTATATATATACATCATGCATCACAACAAACATATTACATATTTTCGTTTCAAGTTCTGATTAAAAATAACTTGTTCAAATCAGTATTTTTTCCTGTTGTACAACGAGGATAGTGTCACATTCTGACATAGCATGTTTTTAATTTTTCAGATATGTTGCATTGAACACACTTTTAAAAACAGTTAGTTCTGATATAAATGCAGTTCAGAGGCATAGAAGTACCATAGTAGATTGTTTAAAAGATCCTGATATTTCTATAAGAAAGTAAGTTTTATCAATATAATCCATAATTTCATACTTGTGTACTTTTCAGGGATGTTATTTTTTTTTTTTTTAAGAATTTAGTCGTGTACATTACAGTTTAATTTTTTTTTTTCCTTTTTGAATTTATCTTTACCTTAAATTGCCAGTAGTAATAAGGAAGGTGAAGTTCGGTAGTTACTTTGTCGTTGTTGTCTATAACTTAAATTATTTGCGTCCCATCTTTCTCACTTGGTCATGTCATCAATCAAAAGCTAAACTTAATGCAGTATATTTTTCAGTAAAATTGTTGTTATTGTGGAGTTTTCTCCCCTGTTTGAATGCCCAGATTCAAACTACACCTTTCCACTCATAAGATTTTCTTTTAATTTGTGACATTGCTACAAAAACGTCTGAAGAAAAGCTATTTTTAATGTACTTTTTATTGCAGGCGAGCTGTAGAGTTATGTTTTGCTTTGATCACTGCTAATAATGTACGAGGCATGGTGAAAGAGTTGATTTTCTTCTTAGAAAAAAGTGATCCTGAATTCAAGTCTTACGTTAGTTCCAATGTATTCTTAGCCTGTGAAAAGTAAGTGAAATTGCTGGAAAAAGTTCTTTTGACTTCACTCTGTCTTAACGACCTTTGAATCAGCACCAAATAAAATGTTTGTCAAAATACTTGTGCCCTCATTCTAGCATTTTTTCAGCACACTATTATGGCTTATCCAAGCTGCCTACTGGTAAACTGCACAATTGTTGCCTCTCTGTTTTTCCAAACTGTAATAACTTGTGACAGTTTGACTTTTACAAAAACTTTAAAGTAGTTTACTTTGAGACTGTACTGTTCCACAGATATGCTCCAAGTCAAAGATGGCACATTGACACCATGATGAAGGTACTAACTACAGCGGGTAACAATGTGTTAGATGATACGGTAGCCAGTCTTATACAAATGATATCAGATACAAGTGCGTACCATGCTTATGTATCACAACGACTATTCAAGGCTATTCAAGAAAACTATACCATGGTAAGTAATATAAACTATTGTCAGATAGTAATCTAGGTGAGGCCTAGGTGAAATTTCCTTCACTTGCAAACAGCTACAGGTTTGTTAATGAGTTATACATTAATTATTAATTAGGGGTGATCTCATTAATAATAAATTAACATTGATGATGGTTGCTAGATGGGCATATCCTTGACAATGACCACACCCAGAGAAACAAGATAAAAGCATGATTGTTACTTAACTTATTGGCTTGGCTTTGCTTTTGTCTGAAATTTATTATAGTCAGCAACAGTACACGTGTACTGATAAATAACATTGAAGGTGGTGGGTGTTAGGTGGACATTAACCATTGTGACATTTACTGCAAGAGTACACGTGTACTGATAAATAACATTGAAGGTGGTGGGTGTTAGGTGGACATTAACCATTGTGACATTTACTGCAAGAGTACACGTGTACTGATAAATAACATTGAAGGTGGTGGGTGTTAGGTGGACATTAACCATTGTGACATTTACTGCAACTAATTATCTTTTATGTCATTGTCAGCTTAAATAATTATATAATTAGCATATGTCCTTTAAAAGGAGATGTACAAATATCGCATGTCTTTGTTCAGTCATAAATGTAACAGTTCTAACAGTTCAAAAAGACAAGCTCCCAGTCAGTCTGAACATTGCCCTCTCTCAGCACAACTATACACTCTCTCACTAAAGATGATAGAGGGCACTGTTTCAACTGCAGTAGAAATAGCTACAGGTATTTAAATCCTGATTGTCGAGCAGTGCAAATATTTTCACATTTTATAAAATTTTCACTAAATTCAGTCATCATTTTGGATCATACACACAGTTTCAGATATTGCCTTTAGTTTTTGATCAAAAGTTTTGTGAATTTTTATCAACAATTCATGTGGAGAGGAAGCGACTGTATGAAATCATTTTGTAGATGGTGCCGAAAATTGAAAAAGGCACTTAATTGGTTAATTTTAATATACTCACTGATAATTAGCTATTTTGGTTAAGATTGTCATGTCTTTACGTGTGTCGACAGCAACCTTTAGTACAAGTAGCAGTCTGGTGTATTGGTGAATACGGTGATTTACTGATGGCTGGTCAGCTGGAAGAAGAAGAACCAATCCAGGTACGTACCTACTACCTAGCCGAATTAAACATTGAAGAGTTAGCCAAAGAGCATGCAATGTCGACGGTACAAGAAACCTACCAGGTTCGTATCAGTGCTCTACTGCATTCAAGATATGCTGCTCTTCACTGTGGTTTGGTGTGCTGCCTATGCACAGTTTGTTGCATGTTTATTACAATGAGTTAAATCTCTGGTTTTTATTTCTTTTAAGTATTCATCATATTTGCAAGGCTTAAAAAAAACAATTTTTTTTATGATCCTGGAATATTGAAAAAAAAAAATGCTTTGAGCGCCTGCTTTTGGTTTTTGTCGTAATTTTGCAATTTTTTGACAAAAACCGAAAACAAATATTTTTTAGCCCAATGTTTTGATAAATTTTATTATTTGATGAAATTTAATTGTTGAATGTCTTAAAAATGACTGAAGACAGGCTTGAGTATGACAAAGGAATTATTGTATTTGCTCCATTAGAAGCACACATAAAATAGAAATTATAATTTTTGTACACTAGACCATTGAAATGTGTTTTGACATTCACTCATCCATGTCTATTACATAATGGCATACACTTATAATATTTACTTAGTTTTAAATTCACGAACTCCCCAGTTTAGAGATAATTTTTATTGTAATTCAACATGCGCTCAGCAAAACTAGCGATTTAAAAACCTTGTTCATAATTAATGCATTTTCGATACTAGATGGATTTGATTTTTCCAATATATCAATAAACAACTTCACATGAAGGGTAGTGAGATGAGTAATATTGTAATATAATAATTTTGTAATATCTGCATTTTTTGCTGATCATTTGTGCGTCTACGTCTTCTCTGCTGTTGATTTGTCCCGGGGAGGAAAGTACTCCTGGTGCCCTGATTAAATTGGTATATTGTCATCATACATGACAATGAGTCTGTCTTTTTCCTCCTCATAATATTCACCATGCTACTAGTTGTTATCACCCCAACCCAAGAAACAAAGAAATAATCAACTTTGTAGTTGCTGGCTTTGACCTTCATAACTTTGCATCTTATTTTGTTTGATCTGCCTCCATGTGTGTAACTAATTGCATACTGTCATCTTTTCTTCCCTTCCCTATTTTTGTTTGTTTTTTCTCCCCGTTTTTGTTTTTGTTTTTATACTCCTACTTATATCGTCAAAATGCAGGTCACCGAAGATGAAGTTGTGGACATCCTTGAAAAAATTATACAATCAACAGTGTCATTACCAATTACAAAACAGTTTGTGTTAACAGCTCTCATGAAACTTAGTACTAGATTTACAGTGGCTGTAGAGTAAGTAATAATTTATTTGTGTGTTTTCATCACCAAAAATGTGCTATATACCAATGTCCCTGTCAGCTCTGATCAACAAGTGATGCAGATCTCTTGATCTCTCAAGAGGCAACCAAATTTAGAATTACACAGTCCAGTTAATTATCATATTAATTTCATTTTGTTAAGAATTTTGCTGAGAAAATAAAATGTTGGAGTATAAGTTGTGATTGCCCCGCAATGGCGTTGTTTCTCATTAAACAGTGACATAAGTTATGACTACGGTATGTCCATAAACTTTGTTTGTTGACAGACATATTAAGAAAACGATCGCATTGTATGGTCCTAGTCTAGACATGGAATTACAACAAAGAGCAGTGGAATATTCTAAGTTGTTTCAAAGCTATGACCACATGAGGTGAGTATAGCTAATGTAGAATACTTAAATAAGGGGAGTTGTCACTTGCACATGCGGCAGATGGCCATAGCGTGTCATTGTTCACAAACAAGTGTCCACCCATGAGCCTTTGCGGTTTTAGCCTCTGTTATTGTCGCGTGTGCGCAGGTGCCTACCCTCCCGCTTTAGCTGTAATTTAATATTATTTATGGTTACATGTGATGTATCTTGCATGTAACACTGAGTCTCTTTTGTATGTTACATTATCGACTCTTGAATTTTATTGCCCTTTTTTCACCCGTACTGCTGCTCATACCATACATTTTTTATAAGGCTATCATGAGCATACAGTTTCCGAGATACTGTAAAATTTAGCTTGAATGAATTTTCGCTTAAATTAATTTTTTTGGGGTGTTTTGTGTGGAATTTATTTTCACTAATTTCTGACAAGTTGTAAATGTAAAATATAGGAAAAAAGGTACATTTGCTGGATTTTATTTTCACTGAATCATTCCTTCAGCGAAAATAGCCAAAATTAATTTCAAGTGAAAATAAAGTATTTTACAGTACATGTTTGTCCCAGCACGATCTCTGAGTTTAGTGACGTTGCATGCCAACGATCTAATGGCAGGCTCAGCATTGCCCATACATAGTGTACACTCTAAACTTTACCTAAAATTTCTATAAAAAAAAATATGATGCTTCAGGTGTTTCAATAATGTGAATGTGATGTACATTTACTGAATAAGGAAACACTTTTTGACACATCCTTACACTGTTGAATGCATAATAATTGTTCATTTGTTGACTTTAATAGTGATTTGACAAATGCTGGCCTAGTAACTGGTATTCAATTAGTATGCTTTTCAGGTTTTGCTTGAGTGTATTTAATGCATTCTTGTCATTGTTTTCTAGGGCAGCATTACTGGAGCGGATGCCACCCATGGAAAATAAAAACATCAGCGGCTCTCAGATTGAAAAGAAAAACAAAAATAACAAACCGATTAGTAAAGTCGAAAATACAGATGTTTCGGCAGTTCAACCTGAGGTAACCAAATTATTTGACTACCGTATATTTTACAAGTGTTGTTGAAATATTGTTGTGTTATTTGTCAATTGAAAAGCAAAATGGTGATGCAGTATGTCGATTAGCAATGATCACTTTCACCCCTAGATAAAGCACTGTTTTTGTCGCAAAATATGCCTGTGTCAAATTGAATATGAATATGCGTGTGTGCGCTTGTATTGGAGTAATGTCCTGTTAATAGAATGTGTATGCTATTCAATCAAATTCACAAATGATAATTATTTGTTGTGAACGCTTCAGTACAACAGAAAGAAGGCAAAGAGACATAGCATTATATGATTCAGTAGTCTGAGTAAGGGTGGTGGTCCTCGGGACAAATCATGTTCATTTCATGCAGTGTATATATACAAATGAAAAACAGTGTTTGTCTACAGGAAAATTTTACATAAGAACTTTTTCTATAGTTTTATGCATAATACAAAATTTAATGTCGCTGCTTTCTGTCAAGTTAAGGTTTTTAATCACATCATTAATCGCTTTAATTTTAGAGTAATGGTCTTCTTGATTTAATTGGAGGATCTGCAATTTCAACGCCTAGCATAGAGCCCAACCGACCACAGAAGGAGAGCACAGACCTATTAGATTTACTTGATTTGGATCTTAGTGCACCGGCTATGCCCATGAACCAACCAGCTATGCTGCTACAACCAGGTCTCATGCCAATGAGTAATAATATGACTAACCTGATGGATGGTGTACCAGCAATGCAACCATCAACTAACTTGTTAGATGGTGACATGGGCATTACTATAAGTAAGTTACCAGTCATAGCCTGTCATCTGTAACAAATTTACATAATTACCAGCTCAGGTAGATTCTAGCAATATGTTTTTTTTTGTCTGTTGTAGATAACAGAATTCCTTCACTGACGGCGTTTGAAAAAGGTGGATTGAAAGTGGAATTAGAGTTTGAAAAAGACACCAGTCCAAATGTGATTAATATTACAGCGAAATCTACCAACTCAACAACTTATCCAATGACAGATTATGTTTTCCAAGCTGCGGTTCCAAAGGTATGTTGTTCTCTGTCGTTTGTCTTTAAAAGGTCGAGACCAAGACAAGCCAGCAATTAATGTGTTGTAGGTCAACTATGTTGCTACATGTAACACATACGTGTGGCTGTGCATGATTTCTTAAACAACGTAGCTTTCATGAAAATATATATATTAGGGGGGGGGGGGGTTACAGGCCACTTAGATTTTTTTAGTTTATTGTTAAAATTTAGTTACTCGAATTTTAATTATCAGTTAAATGAACTTTGAATTGCGAGAAATATACGTTAAACAAACCAAAAAATCTCTATTTTGCCCGTAATTCAAAGTTCGGTTAAATGTTAATTGAAGTTTCAGTTACTAAATGTGAACGTTGAACAAAAATAAAAATATAGGTTGCCCATAACTCAAAGTTCTATTAACTGTTAATTGAATATTATGGGTGTGGTTTCTAAAATATGGGTGTGG